AAAGTATAATTATATTTATATAAAAATTTCAACTCATAACCTGAAATGTATAACTTGAGCTCCATAATGCTTCAAAAACCTAAACAAATAAAAGAAGTTAGTATTCCTATATAAGAAGAGATAAAGATTGATAATGTATTAGATAAAAAATATTAAAACTATCATAGTCTAGAATTTATAGTAATTGGTTCATTTTTACTAACACTCAGTATTTTATCATCCAGCTACAATCAACGGCTATAAAACCAAATTAACAATTTTTTATTCCACGAAGAATTGTTAAAAGCATCGTCTTTGAGGAGTTGCAAACAATGATGCAGTTTATTTATTTTCCCATCTTCCCTAGCCCGGAAGAACCCATCGCATAAAAACTCACTTTTTTTAAAAAAAATACAAATAACAAAAATTGATATCAGTGAAAAGAAAAAAAATAAATTGAGAAAAAGAACACAAGATTCACATCGTGATGAATCTTATTAAGTTTGTTAAAACAATAAAATCAACGAGAACAAATAATTTCTAACATACTTCAATTTAATTTTTAGCAATAAATATATCATACTTTAGAATAACTTTGATATAAATCTCTAATTTCTAGCTATCCCAATAGTAGAGTTGATTTCTAATATCTTAAATAGTAGAGCAAGAACGAGAAATCAAATTGCCTTTAGGAAAATGTCAGAACCAGTAGAATTGTTGATGCAATATTTTGCTTTTATACGATTTATAACAAAAAAAATAAGTGCCACTTAATAACTAGATGTTTTTATCTACATTTTTTATGTAGATATATTTATATATTAATACATAGGTAGACTTTTAAGTCCACGGTATAAGATTTATGTGAAGTTTGAGCCAAACTCAAATAAAATGTTGACATATTTCTTGTTTCACTAATAAGTGGGTAAGTTTTCGAGCATATAGACTAAGTTCTTTTAGAACATTGCCCATTCTTAAACATTTAATAGTTCAACATTTATATAAAAAAAATTACATAAACACTGTATGCGTATGGCAAAACCAGTAGCCACATAAGAAAAAGCATTTCAGCATAATGTCATGTCAAGAATTTCTTCCACCAAATAATGATAACAATTATATTAAATAAATGAAAATAAAAAAAAAAGAGAAAGATGAATAGATAAGTTGTATCTTTTAATTCAATCTCCCTTCCATGATCTCACATGCAACAATCTTGTCCTTTATCTGTTCAGAAACTTCAAAACAGTCTATTCTCATCCTTTTTCTATTGTACTTACAAAATGAGAAAAAGGTAAACAACCTTCTTGTGTATCTTAACTTAAAGATAGTGACATGTTTCCGTTCATATGAGAAAATATCATGCGCCATATGGAGTGGCTTGAATACTATAACGACTCTGGAAATATCCAAAAGAAGTAAATGATAATTAAAGTACGGAAACGAAATAAATGTTCAAATTTTACATTCCTTACATAATAACTTAAAGTACCAATTAGTGTTACGAAATTCACCATTTTAAAGAAAATGCAAAAAAAAAAAAAAAAGGAAATGAACGGAAAATAAAGAAAACTAGCATTCTACTCGCAACCCTCTTACAGATCAGGCTCTGGATCCTGATCATCTTGATCTGAAATTATTAAATAAGGGATGAGCTATACTAGCCCAGTAAGAATATCACACTATATCACCGATATAGAATTGAAGGTTAGCAGAAAAAAATAAAAAAAAACTAATGGAGTACTAAATTAAGCAAATTCATTTATCAATGGTAAAACCATTTACCGTTTACTTATTGTAGTGAGATTTATAGAAAATAACTTATAGAAAATAATAACATTATATATATCATGATTTCGTATATAATTGGCAACATAGCACATATTATACTTTCACATTCAAATCATCAAACAATAATTGCCCATTTTTTCACTAGCCTGCTGGTATCCATGGGGGTTCATAGGGATGTCTCCGCTATGCGTGAACCTTTTCTTTTAACATTCTCAATTACGGGCTGTCCCCATACTTCGTCCGGTATGAGCACCAAATTATTAAATCTCAATATCTCGTCTGGTATGAGGGTGAAACGGGCCGTCCCCATACCCCATCCGGTATGAGTGCCAAGTTACCAAGTCTCTATGTCTCGTCCGGTATGGGGGTTCACGGTAAGGTTCTCTATGTACCCGGTTCGTCCACCATCTCCTAGGATGTCCAATAAGGCTGTTGTTTCATCCAGTCACTTAATCACACAAGTTTTCTATTTACCTTTAATTTCTATTTTTTCAATTCAACCGTGAACACATAAAACAACAATACATACATTCAAAACTAATAAATAAATCAATAAGGCACTATTATGCATTTAAACTATAAAAACAATCAACAGAAATCAATAGAGAATAGTTTCCGGTTCTGGCTCCATTAGCAATCCTTAAGTAATCATGAACATTTTCTAAATTGTACAAAATATCGTATTTATTGTTAATTAGACTTCAATTCTATAACAGAGAATAGAGTGATGGATTCTTATTCAATTTGATACCCAAAAGACTAAACTTTAGGTTATGCCCACTGGCGGTATTCGGATTTTCTGAATTTTTTTTTTCGAAAATCAAAACGTGCAATAAGTACCTACAAATGTCCCAAACAAATTCTAAATCAGTCTCAGGGCCTATTTTGGCCAATTTTAGAATTCCGGCACGAGCTCCATCGTGCTCCGACAGTGGTCTACCTCGAGTCGACTATTTTCGACCATTTTTGGCCAGATTCGGCCAATTTTGCATCAATCCCTGCAAGAAAATATGTTGAAGGGCCTTAGTTGGCCGAAAAAATAGTAAAAATAAAAACTCACCGACGGTGGGGCTCTCCGGTGTGGCAGCTCCTCCGACTCACATTGTAGTTGAGTATTTTTCTCTGGTCAACCTGTAGAAAAAGAAACGATGATCACAACAATAGAAAAATTACGCAGAACGGGAATCGAAAAAGGCCTCATCGGAGGCGTTTTGCAAAATTCTCTGTAGTGGCACAGTCGGGCTTTGCCCACATTTTTCGGCCAATTAGCCGGTCCTTTTACTCCGATTTAACCATGAGTGTGTTTAAAATTAAATTCTGAGCAAGGGAGAAAATTTTCACCTCTTTTGGCGGTTAGAAAGGCCTTTGGCACGGCGGGGGGTGACAGTGATCTCCTTCCCGGCGGCTTGGTCTTCTTCTCCAGCGAGGGGGTTTGACGGCTAAGGTTAGGGTTTGGTGTGGAGGTTATTTCTATCTATCCACTTTTGATTTGGACCGTCCATCGCGTTTGATATGGATCGTCCTATCGCGATTAAATAAGGAGTGAATTTGGACTGTTTAATGTGATCTAATCTAGGTCGTTCATCGCGATCTAATCTGGACCGTCCGATCACGTTTAAATCTGACCGTTCGATCGCGTTTAGGGAGGGAACGCATCTGGACCGTTCGTTCGCACGAGAATGGATCTGAGTCGTTCGATCGCGGGCACGCGGATCGCCCGCATGGCCTCCCGCGTTGCACCGTGTCAGTGTCCACTGTCACGCGGTGCGTCCTGATTCGTCAGGATTGCTAACCAGATATTCTACGTGGCGAAATTTTTCTAAATTGTATTTTGACATTCAGTTTCTGATTTTTCTTTCAAAATATCCCTAAACCCCAAATTTTCACCCATTTTCTCCAAAACTATTTCAATTTAATCCTCCATCAATTTACTTCATTTACTCTAAATTAAGATTAAAAAATTAAAAAATTAAGAAATTATATTTATAATTAGATCTAAATTACATTAAAAATTAATTTAGGGTATTACAACTCTCCCCCCCTTAAAAGAAATTTGGTCCCTTAAATTTGTCTCTCTCACTCTCAATCAAACAGCTGGGATATTTGGCTTTAAAGTCTTATTCTAGCTCCCATGTGGCCTCTCTCGGTGTGTGATTCTGCCATAAGACCTTAATAAAGAGAATTTTTCGGTTACGGAGTAATCTGCTCTTTTAGTCCACAATGTCGACCGATATTTCTTTGTAAGACAGATCCTCCTAGAGTGAAAGAGGCTCGTGGGCCAAGACGTGAGAAGAGTCCGGGTTGTACTTGCGTAGCATGGACACACGAAACACATTATTGACCCTGCAAAGTTCTAGAGGCATTGTTAGTCTGTAGGCAGCGGTACCAATTCTGTTTAAGATTTCAAATGATCCAATAAATCAGGGATTCAATTTTCTTCTCTTGCCGAACCTATTGATTCTCTTGAAATGAGTGACCTTAAGGAACATCCGATCGTCTTTTTCAAATTCCAAGTCCTTCATCCGGGTGTCTGCATAACTCTTCTGCCTGCTTTGAGTCGTCTGAATATTCTTCTTGATCTTAACTATTTTAGCTGTAGTCTCCTCTATAAGATCTAAGCCGAACAATTTTCTATCACCCACTTCTTTCCAACATATCGGCGACCTGCTTGAGCGACCATACAACGCCTCATACAGAGCCATGCCAATACTTGCTTGGTAGCTGTTGTTATAGGCGAACTCTAT